CACACACACACACACACACACACACACACAGTCATTTACTGCAGATGTTTCATTCTGTGCACTTTGAAATCAGCTGTTAAGCTAACACGTGTCTGCCTGGACTGTGAGACACCCTGGAGAACGCACCAGGCCACGGTGCTAACCGCTGCACCACCGAGCCGCCGATGTGTTTCCTCCTCCTTTGCTGGTGACAGCGATGAGCTGAAACATCTGCAGCCGTTGGCTCTTATATCACATGCCGCCTGCTTTTTTTATCAATGGTTCCCTTTGACGAACACATCAGGAGAAGCTTTACAGAACCCCCCCAGATGAACACAGCTCTTTGTTGAGGTGTTGCCAGGTCAGGCAGGTAGATATGGAGAGTGAAAATAACCAGCCACAGTTTCCTGTCCTGACTTCTGTCTTACAAAAAGAGGAGGATCAGTCAGAACACCACCTTCCTGCACACGCGCTGCGAGGTTTTATAAAGATGGCTGTCGTGTTTGTAAATGTGTGAGCTTCGCTGTGCACATGAACTGTTGTAACTTAAAGGCAGAGCCATGAACGTGCTGATTTGCTGTGATCTGATCTTTTGTGGGTCATGTGACAGACTGTGTGTGTTCCGGGTGTTCGTGCTCTCAGACTCAGGTAAATACCTGGCGGTGGCGTCACACGACAGCTTCGTGGACATCTACAACGTGCTGAGCAGCAAGAGAGTCGGCATCTGTAAAGGAGCGTCCAGTTACATCACGCACATCGACTGGGACGCCCGAGGTAGCACACGGCTCTCTCTCTCTCTCCCATCCTGCACACACCTGACAACAGCAGTGCTTGTTAAATCACAATTTCACACTTTAGATGCTGCCCTCCGCCCAGCAGGGGGCGCTGTTTAACAGAGTAAAGGCCTCAGAGTAAACGCTGGGCCTCTGGAGACGAGCGTCCTCCGGTTTTTCCCGCTCGGTGAGCAGCCGGCGAGTGTTTGCGGACATGTTGGCGTCTTCTGTGCGAACTGTGCTGCTGTCTGCTACCGACCAAAACAACCACGCTCAGGTTATTGGTCCATGTTTCCATAGCAACCAGAGGTTATCAGGGGTCACCGACCCGTCCCTAATGTGACTGAGGACTAAGTTAAAGGGTAAATGCTAACATTTGAATGATGCACAGAGAGTCTGCGAGCAGACGGCGAGATCTGCGAGCGCGTTCAGCCGCTGCGTTATTCTTAGTCCAGCTCCGGCTGTCAGACGATGTTTCTCTGCTGTGTTTGTGCTGCAGGTAAACTGCTGCAGGTCAACACGGGAGCCAAAGAGCAGCTGTTCTTTGAAGCCCCGCGAGGAAAACGACAAACCATCAGAAACTGTGAGGTCAGTGTGCATGCTGAGCGAGAGGAGGAGGAGCTCGGGTTCATGATGTCACGCCTCCAACGTATTTCCAGCGGCGTGAACGAGTCCGTTTGTTTCGTACCGGAGACAGAAAAGCTTGACGTGTGGAAACGACCCGTGTGTGTCGTGTTGTGTGTGTGTTTGTGCAGCTGGAGCGGATCGAGTGGGCTGGCTGGACGTCGGTTCTGGGCTCCACCTGTGAGGGAATCTGGCCGACGCACAGCGACATCACCGACATCAACGCCACGTCGCTCACCAGAGACCACACGCTGCTCGCCACCGGAGACGACTTTGGCTTCCTCAAACTGTTCAGCTATCCCGTCAGAGTACGACACACAACCTCAACGACACACACACACACACACACACACACACTCTTCAGAGAAGACTGCATTCTTTCTAGTGGCCAGCAGGGGGCGACTCCTCTGGGTTCAACGCTGTCTGATTGTTCTGAAGTGCTCGCCTCGCGGTTTCTCAGCCACAGCCTCCCAGGTTTCAATGTGGCGATAGAAAAGTCAGTTTGGATAACTTGTGTGACTTCCTGTAACGTTAGGACCAATCAGAGTGCCCCTCTGACCTCAGGTGTTTGAGTGTGTGTACCTTTCCTCTTAAGGACCTGCTTCCTTTCCTCCTGCAGGGTCAGTACGCTCGCTTTAAGCGTTACGTGGGCCACAGCGCACAGGTCACAAACGTCCTCTGGGCTCAGGATGACTCCACGCTCCTGACGGTGGGCGGGGCTGACACCGCCCTGATGATCTGGGTGAGGGAGCGAGGAGGCGTGGTCAGCGTGGAGGGGGATGGGCCTTTGTTTCGCGACAGCCGACCGCTCGTAGACAGCGAGGAGTCGGATGACGACATCGAGGAGGACGGAGGTTTGAAAATATTGTTTCGATAAACACGAATCCAAAGTTTATAGTTTCGTCTTTAATCGTAGCCTCGGCAACATCATGAACAGAGAGCAGCGCTGGTGCTAAACTCAGCAGACGTCCCTGCTCACAGTTCAAAAAACGAGGTTCAGATCTGCACCAAACACGATGGCGTCGCCCTTTAGCCGTACTCCATCTCTCAGCTATCGTAGCTGTGACATCATAAAGCAGACACAGACAAACCTTCATGCATCCAAACACGAACAAAGTCTCTGCCTGAAAGCTTCAATGCAAAAATGTCTGGATCCAGGTGTCACATGACCTCTCAGTGAAGCACCAACATAAACCCAGAAGCCGTCCCTCAGATCTGTAACCGTGTGTTTAAAGGCTACGACAGCGACGTCGCCCGCGAGAAGACGGTGGATTACACCACGAAGATGTACGCCGTCAGCATCAGAGCGATGAGAGGAACCAAACCTCACCAACAGCTGAAGGAGCTCTCTGCTGAGGAGAGGTACGCACACATGCACACGCACACACGTGCACACACGCACACACACATGCACACGCACACACGTGCACACACACATGCACACGCACACACGTGCACACACATGCACACGCACATGCACATACACACACACACACACACACGTGCACACACACATGCACACGCACACACGTGCACACACACATGCACACGCACACACGTGCACACACGCACACACACACTTCTGTTTTTTACCATCATAATGAATCAGGATCTGTATTTTGGGACGGGTGCATTAAAAACATGTCGGAGTGTTGCTGGTAAAATATGACAAAGGCTCCCATATCTGAGCGCACACTAATGAAAAACATCACACTGCAAAAAATACTAGTGATACTTCCTAATACTGCAAACTAAATCATGTAGAATACTTTATGACATTTAAAAAAATCTGTAGCTTGTTTTGTCCAAATTTGTAACAATTATTTAATATATGAACAAAATAAATCTTTATGAAAATCAGAGACAGTTGAAGAGAAAATGCTCTAAAATAAAACAAGGAACAAAACTTCACCGAAACGCAAGATGACAGGTAATAGTCAAAGACACTAACACAGTAAGACGGGACAAAGAGGGAGAAACACAGGACGTGATAAACTCGTACAAATGAAATCTTAACATTCAAAGCTGACAGCAGCGAAAACATCCAACCAGAAAAATACAACAGGAGCTTCAAAGAAGTTCAAAATGGCTAAAGAACAGAAAATCGTAATCAAGAACTCTCCAGCCAGTCAGAGGTCACTCTGTGAGATTACATCTCTGTCCTGGGAGTGAGCTGGCAGAAGAAATCATGCAGTCGAAGCCCGAACAGCAAACCCATAATAAACACTGGGACCACACATTTTAACACAGCCTCTCAGCTTCAAGCTTCTCAGGTTTCTTAAACGTGCAGGATGTCTTCATGCTCTCTGTGATTTCCTTTAATGAGTTCTTGAGCTTTGTTTGACTTTCCAACATGTTCTATCCTCGCTGTCTGTTTCGGTGAAGGTGACGTTCCCTGTGTGCGCGCCCGTGTGCTGATGTGCTCGTGCATGCTCAGGCTTCTGCATGCTGAGTGGATCCTTCTGGCTGCGTTTGTAATATCGGTGTTCACAGTTCACTCAACAACAAAGGGCACCTTCAAGGAACAAATGTGTCTGCAGGGTCAGAAAGCTGCAGACCAAAGATCGATCTAAGCACCAACCAGGTTTCTTCTTCTGAAGACAAATGAGGTTTATTTGTTAAAATGTTACCATATTATAAATTATTGTGAAGAAGCTGAGCCTGGTGTCAAATGTAGATAACTGAGGGGCCTTTCATATGAACTTGTTTTGAGCAGCCACCTATCCCACACGGGGAGCTCTGGGCTTTAGGTTTTAAGTCATTGAGTGGGTGTAAAACTGATCTGGTTGCAGATTTTCACAGAGCTTAAATGTGTTTTTCAGCCCTGCAGATTTCTCCTGAACTCACAAAGTTATGACATCTCAAAAAAGCTGTAAAGATGGTTAAAAAGAGGACAAACCTGAGCCCACCCCCGTGGACCTGCAGGGTGCATGCATAAATATACTACAGTAATTGTAGAACATTAAATCAGCTGATTGCGAGGTGGTCATGTGGGAACTTTGACTGGGTTTATATGAAGTGAGGATTTTCCAGCCTGTAGAAATGGGGTTTTCCAGGCTGTGGAGTAGCAGCATCAAGTCTGTGCTCTGAGTTCATGCACAGAAGCTCCCGGTGTGCACGTCTTCTCTTCCAGCGCCTCAGTGACAGAATCTCTGACCAAATCTAGAACTTGCAGGTATTTGGAAGAAAATGGGCGGCTCCAAGTTTCAGAGTCCGGAGAATCTTTAACGATAAAGGGTGCCCGTGCTGACTGATAACTCTTGTTTTTGTCCCTCTGTGGTACCCTTAGTTCCTGAGTGTTGCTGCTGCTCTCTGGCCTCGTAGAAACTCTTAATATCTCTGCTGTGTTTTAACTTGCATTCCCCTGGAGGCAGGGCATTAACAAGTAAGTATGAGCCAACACTTACTGTGGATGGTCACACTTAAAACCTCAGCTGCAGCCACTTTGGATCATTTATTAAAGCCCAAAAGCAGAAATCTCTCATTTACAAATCCATTCAAACTCTTCCTCGATCAGACATAACATCACGACTCGTCGAGGCGTGGACTCAGCAGGTGAACAGGTCCTGTAGGTCCTGCTAGCTGTGGGGTGGAGCCTCCGTGGATCCGACTCGTTTGTCCGGCACATCTCACTGATGCTCGACTGGACTGCGATCTTTTAAAAATTAGAGTTAACACCTCAAACTTGTCGCTGTGCTGCACAGACCGTTCCTGTTTGTGGAGGAAGGAGGCCGCGACCTTCCTCCATCGCTCTGTGGTCCAGTTCTCATTGTTGGTGCTTTCAATGGCGGACGGGGGTCAGCCTGGTCAGCCTGACAGCTTTCTATCAGAACCAGCATGAAGCTTTAGCCCGTCTGTTGGATCGGACCACACAGACCAGGCTTCAGTCCTCACACGCATCGGCCTCCACGGCCCCGTCGCTGCTTCACCGCTGTTCCTTCTTTGGACCATAAAAACTGACCCCTGCAGACCCACACAGAGCTTCTGCTTCTAACATCAACTTTGAGGACAAAATGTTCACCCGCTCTGTGTCATTGGTGTTACCTGTCAGTGCTCATAATGTTATGTTGGATCGAGTTTTGGCCTAAATATGTTCGGAGCCTGACTGCAGGTAACGTGAGCCGACTGGACACACCTGTGTTTGTAAGACCACAGAGATCACAGAGTGTCAGGACAAAACCAGCCGCCATGTTCAGGGAGCGGTCTCTAGGCTTTTGGGACAACAATATTTCACCTGATGGAAGGACAGGATGTCACTTCCTGTTCCTGTGGGACTTCATCAGCAGAGAAAGATGTTCTATGGGGAGCTCGGCTGAGAATAGTCGGGTTTTCTTCAGAGTAACATCTATCAGATGTTTGGTATCGATGATACTGCAGCAGCCACCTGTGTCTCCCTTTGATAAACAGTAATCCAGGCTCTCTAAGTTCTCAGGTACAGTGCTGCACCTGCTGCTGTGAGGCCACAGGTGTACCTGTGCACGTTAGCCTGCTGACACGGTTAGCTGCACTAGCATGTTAGGCTGGCAGCCTGAGGATTAAACAGCAGCAGCAGCAGCATGGTAGCGTTTTGTTAGCATGTACTTTTAGCCACAGTGTCTCTGAGGAGGAAAGCCTGTGTGTGCATGTGTGTGTGCATGTGTGTGTTGAGTCTAAGTGTAGATAAGAGTGCGTGACTGTGTGTGTTTCTAAAGCTCTACCTTGGTTCTATCCCTCTATCCCCACCTGCCTGCCTGTACACGTCCTCTTCATCGTGTTCGCATCACACGCTGGCATTTCATGAAAACGTTTCAGTGCATTTTCGTCCTGTTTGGTCACTTTCATCTCTCCGTCATGCACCACTTCTCTTACGGCTTTGGCGCCTTGATGAACCGTTCGCAGCACTGAGCGATAACGTCTCGCTTCAGTTGCTAAAAACGAAAGTTTATTTGCCAACGAGGAGCCTGTGCAGACCCCGCGGACCCACGTCCAAACCAGTCGTGCTGGAGGACGATGCTGTGGTGGTGGACCTGCCCTCGTGGACTCTGATGGTTTGGTCAGAAACGTGCTCATGAGTAACCCGCTGGAGGTCGCACAGAGGAGCAGACACCTGTGCAGCTCAGCTCCTGTAACGTCTGCTGGTGTCTGCTCCTCCACATGTGCAGGGAGATACAGACGGTCCTGGAGGAGCTGACGGGGGTGCACCACCACCTGCTAATCTGTTTCCTTTTTGGGGTGGTCTCATTGTTGCCCCTCCAGTGCTCCTGTTGTCACTTTGAGTTGCACCTGTGCAGGTGAAACAGGTTCATAAGTGGATACTGAAGTTTAACTGTTGTTACCGTGACGATCGACGATGCAGTGGACCTGGTTCACTCACTGCAAAATCCTGCAATTACTGCAACAGTTACTAGAGTTATTACTCTGAATAGTAGCAGAACCTTCCTCCTGTAGGTTTCAGGTGCTTCGGCAGGTCGACGCTCTCGGTTTAGTGAAAGGTTGCATTAAACTCCGCCTCTTCCCTCTAGTCGCCAACAGACAACAAAGAGCACAGTGACGCTGTAACGTTAACAAATCTGAGTGATTTAACTCTGTCAGAAGCAGAACGGCTGCTCTAACCCAAATGGCTGCTGGTCTGAGTTCACAGAAAGAGGGCGGAGCACCAGCACACCGCCGGATCAGCTGTTTAACCCCCCGATGTGTAGTTCATGTGGTCTCCGTGTCTGTGCTCCACCCGTGTGTCTCTGATCTCGTCCTTTAACATGTAAATGAATGTTTTTCTGTCTTTGACTCATCGACCGATTCATTGACACGCTGATTGATCCTCCAGGCCGCCAGTGAGCCGAGCGGCGCCGCAGCCCGAGAAACTCCAGAAAAACAACGTGTCCAAGAAGAAGCGGCCGGTCGAGGTGAGTCTGTCCGTCCGTCCGTCGGCCCGTCTGTCCGTCTGTCCCTGCGTTCACCGTCCGCTTCTCCCTCTCCAGGACCTGATCTTGGACCACGTCTTTGGTTTTCGGGGCTTCGATTGTCGTAACAACCTGCACTACCTCAACGACGGCGCCGAGATCGTGTACCACACTGCCGCCACCGCCATCGTGCACAGCCTGAGCACCGGTAACACAAACAACACACCTGAGTGACGTGCCGTGGACGATGAGTCCTTACGTGAGGTTGTTTCAGCAGGACGGACGCGCGAACAGTCGGCAGGCGTTGGTGTCCGAAAGATGTTAAAGTCTCTGTAAATGCATCTCTGCATGTGCCCCTTCTACCTGCTGCACAGAAACATGATGCCAGTGATGTAACATTTAATATTCAAAAGCTTTTATGTTTGTGAAAACGGTTTTACCAGGTAAATTATTGTTGTTGTTAAACAGTTTCTGCTGAGCAGACTCAGCTTCATGCACACCTGTGGAAACGTGTTCAGGTTGTATCTACCTGCTCGCACACAGGAAGCAAAGATGTTGCGCTCCACCGGATCTCATCCACAAAAACACGCCTCTTACCTCACAGAGCCGTTCGGCTGTGATTGGTCGGTTCGTGTTTTATGCTGCAGCCACACTGAGTTGGATGGAAGCTGCAGCACAGAGTGATCGTGGCCGAGTTCGGTGGACTTGTGATGTCTTTGCTTCGCAGATGGAGACCGGCGGTCTTCAAACTTTGGTGCATGAAGACGGTGATGAAACGGCGATAACGTGTCTGCTGTCAGCTTGAGGCTAAGTGGGCTCAAGTTGGCAATTTCATGCAGTCTGTTTGTGACAATCCGGCGATCAGCTGTGAGGAAACAGCCACAATTACACATTTGTTGCTGCACAGAGATGCACATTCAGAGTGCGGCCAAAACCTCACAGATCACGTGTCCATAAATCAGGACACGGATGCTGCAGGACGGCAGTTTAACTGCAGAATGACAGACGTGACAGACCAGGACCCGGCTCGGGTGAGCTGTGCAATCACCTTTGGATGGAAAGTGGTCGGCGTGCTGCACGCTTCAATGACCACTTACGCTCCTTTGATAACAGACAAAACTCAGCGCAGTCGTCACAGGTACACAAAGTCACAGATTTGTGCCTGGGTGTTGCCATCCTGTGTGTTTTGCTTTGGATCCAAAAAAGCACCTTAAAATCAGCAAACTCTGATTGCTGTCAGTGTCGCCCGTCGCTGTCGTGTAGCAGCAGATTGCTGATCTCCGGCAGCGTGGGCGGAGCTTTGCACAAGAAAAGCACAGCTTCTGACGACATCACCAGAAAGAGCACCATCCATTAGAACGAAACCGTGTCGTTAGCTCACCTGCATGTGTGCGTTTGCAGCCCCACAAACACCACGAGTGTGTCCGTGACTCGTGCTGAATGAAGCGACGACTGAGCTTCAGCCAGAACTGGAGTTTATTTGGTGCCTTGCAGGTAAAACGTGTCTGTTTACGTGTCTTTGCAGGAACGCAGAGCTTCTACCTGGAGCACACGGACGACATCCTGTGTCTGACCGTCAACCAGCACCCCAAATTCAAGAACATCATCGCCACCGGGCAGATCGGTACGCTTCGGTGTTTGTGTGTGTGGCGTGTCGCTGTCGGAGCATGGCCGTGTTTTCCTCCACTAACTGTACTAAAGAGAAGTCCCGCTTTCTCTCCCTGCTTCCTGTTTAACCCGCCTGCTTTGCTTTATTTCTACTGACACAGTGGAAACTGACCGACTCACCGACAGGGAGCAAACGCTTATTGCAGCTGTGAGGCGCCACGTCGCGACAGTTTCTCCTCGAGGTCTGCGTTTAAAATACAGGAAGTGGGGTTAATTCAGCCAATCAGGAAACACAAGCAGAGCTTCACGTCCCAGAGTTTGTTGTTTTGGTATCGAACCGTAGAGCAGCCGAAGCGATCCGCAGTCAGGAACATCGAAGCTCCGCGCAGACGCAGGATGAATGAAACGTTTTTTCTGCCTGGCTGTGACTCACTGCAGGTTTTCATGTTGTTGTCTTTGTGTGTGTGTTTTTGGCCGGCCTCATTTGTCACCATCGCTCTCACAACACCTCAGGTGACGGCGGTGAACTCCCAGGTAAACTACAAACGACCCGCACGCCTCCCATCACAGCAAACTGAAACCCAGACTCAACCAGACGTGTCGGTTTGGTTTTCACTGCTACGTCTCATAAAAACATGCAAAGAAACAATTTAAACAAAATATTTTTGCATTTTTAATCGTTTTTTTCAACAAAATGTTAACATTTATAAAAAAGTAATATTTTTCTGATAAATGTTCAGAAATTTCATTAAATATTTAAAATATATTCATGTTATACAAAAGTTCTGTTTTTTTAATCAAAAACTTTAAAAGCTCTTCAAAATTCTACTTTTCCAGCAGTGCATCAGCATTAACACATTTTTCATATTGTCTCATATTCTTAATCATCGTTTTTTGCACACATTTAAATAAACATTTGTTCCTGGGTAACTTTGTATCAACAAACACAGGATAGTTTCACCACATTAAATGATTGAAGTGACTCATTTCTGACGGGCTGATGTTAGTTTGTTGGATTTTCCTCGATGATCGATCAATATGATGTTTCTGCTGCATGTTTGACGCTCGTCTCAAACTGAACTCATTCGATTTGTAGTAGTTAAAGTACTCGAGTACCAAACGCAAACTCTTGTGCCGTCGTGCTTTCCTGACCCGAACGCTCAGATTAAATAAATGGGGCGCGAGCGCTTTAGCGTGGCGGTGAAAAAGCGCCTGGTTTTCAGGGTGTCTGTCGGCTGCACCGACCCCTCTGTGTCGCTGTCGTAGTTTATCCCTCTGTGGTCGTGCTGACGCTGCCTGTGGCTGTAACGGCGATAAACACTCGCTCCGTCTCCGCGCAGGAACGACCCCCTCGATCCACGTGTGGGACGCCATGGGCAAGCAGACGCTGTCCATCCTCCGCTGTCCACACAGCAAAGGCGTCGGCTACGTGAACTTCAGCGCCACGGGAAAGCTGCTGCTGTCCGTCGGAGTGGACCCTGAACACACCATCACGGTGTGGCGCTGGCAGGAAGGTCAGAGACTTTCAGCGTGGTTTGATTCGCGTCCCTCTGTGGTGGCAGTAACCATGGTAACCAAGGCGTGTCTCCTCTGCAGGATCTCGAGCGTGCGGGAAAGCCGGACACCCGGACCGGATCTTCGTGGTGGAGTTTCGGCCCGACTCGGACGCTCAGTTCGTGTCGGTGGGAATCAAACACGTGAAGTTCTGGACGCTGGCCGGCGGCGCGCTGATGTACAAGAAGGGCGTGGTGGGGACGCTGGAGGACGGCAGGATGCAGACGATGCTGTCTGTCGCCTTCGGTGCGGTGAGTTCGCCGCTTCGCCCCGGGGCCCCTCAGGAGCGTCGTTCAGTCGAAGCACGTAAGCTGACCGTGTCTGTGTTCACGTTTGCAGAATAACTTGACGTTCACAGGGGCCATTAACGGGGACGTGTACGTGTGGCGAGATCACTACCTGCTGCGGGTGGTGGCGAAGGCTCACACCGGGCCGGTCTTCACCATGTACACCACCCTGAGAGACGGACTCATCGTCACCGGTGGAAAGGAGAGGCCGTGAGTCACACGCCGACCACTTCACCTGCAGAGCATCGAGAACCATCTTCATAATACAGATTTTATTAAAAGGATGTTTATATATGATGTCATGAAAACGGGACCAACCATGAGTTTGGAAGTTTTCTACTTCCTGAAAGCCGCCAATTCTCTGTGGACGGACGTCGCCACAGAAACAGAGATCAGCTGATCTCTGTGTGATGGCCTCATTCGTGGTCCTCTGTTTAAGCTGTTTCAGTCTGCAAGCTCCTTTGCAACCCAACCTCCTCTTTCGTGCTGTTTCTAGTTTTTCAGTTTTTGTTTTCTCCTTCGTGGAAAAAATGGAAAATAAAAACTGTGTGTTTGTGCGTCAGGACGAAGGAGGGTGGAGCAGTGAAGCTCTGGGATCAGGAGATGAAACGATGCCGAGCCTTCCAGCTGGAGACCGGGCAGCAGGTGGAGTGCGTGCGGTCGGTGTGCAGAGGCAAGGTGAGACCTTGACATCCTTTCCCCGCTCCTCCTCCTCCGCCATCACCCGTCCGTCTTCCTCATCGCCTCGGCCTCTCGTCTTCCTCAGGGTAAGATCCTGGTGGGGACGAAAGACGGCGAAATCATCGAGGTCGGGGAGAAGAACGCGGCGTCCAACCTGCTGCTGGACAGTCACGCTCGGGGGGGAATCTGGGGTCTGGGCGCTCATCCAGCCAAAGATCTCTGCATCACGGCGAGCGACGACGCCACCATCCGCCTGTGGGACCTCGCCGACAAGGTGCATTCATACATATGTCAGTGATTGGAGTCCAGGCTCTTTAGGACGTAGGTGGTGGATGCTGGGGTGGAGGAGGGCTAGAAACAGCAGGCGCTGCTGCAGGTTTGCGTGATGTGGTGCAGCGAGGGCTGGTTAAAGAAATCTTCTCTCTCTGGTTAGAAACTGCTGAACAAAGTGTGCGTCGGCCACGCGGCTCGCTGCGTCAGCTACAGCGCAGACGGAGAGATGCTGGCGGTGGGGATGAAGAACGGCGAGTTCCTCCTCCTCCTCTCCAATTCGCTGAAGATGTGGGCGAAGAAGCGAGACCGCAGCGCCACCGTCCAGGACATCCGGTAAGAGAGCGAGCGCGGGAGCGAAGAATGAAAGCGCTGGATGTTTGTTTGACTGAACTCTGTGCGCAGCTTCAGTCCGGACCGGCGGCTGTTGGCGGTCGGCTCCGTGGAGAACACGGTGGACGTGTACGACGTGAGTGCAGGGCCGACGCTGAACCGGCTGGTTTACTGCAGCGACATCCCCGCCTTCGTCCTGCAGCTCGACTTCTCTGCTGACAGCTGCTACGTACAGGTACACCCACAGCTGGAGGTCTCTTCCTGTTAGACGGGGGCTCTTCCTTGCCGATCTCCGACTGTATTCCCATGTGATGTCTTTGTTGTTGTGTGTGTAAGTCGGGGGGTCCTATTCCTCTGTGGGGCAACCTGCATATGGCCAATAAAGCTTTCATTCATTCATTCACAGTCACCAGGTGCTGTGATACAACTGCTCTACATGTATATGTACACAAAAAACACACACACCCTACAAAACCCCCGGGCCATCCTCGGTCCAGCTACAGATCACACACACACACACACACAGACACACACACATAGAGACACACACACACACAGACAGACTCACACAGACACAGACACACACACACACACTCGTTCTGCTGACGCGTGCATCACAATCTCACCTGCAGGTGTCCACGGGAGCTTATAAGCGGCAGGTGTTCGAGGTTCCTTCTGGAAAGCTGGTGAGCGACCCGATCGCCATCGACAGAATCACCTGGGCAACGTGGACCAGGTAACGCACAAACACGGCTCATGGTCGCCCGCTCGACCCCCGAGCTAACCCGACAACGAGCCGCGGCGCTGACTCGCCCTTTCTGTCGTCTCTTCTTCAGCATCCTGGGAGACGAAGTTTTGGGGATTTGGCCTCGAAACGCCGACAAAGCTGACGTGAGCTGCGCGTGTGTGTCTCACGGCGGCCTGAACATCGTCACCGGCGACGACTTTGGATTGGTCAAACTGTTCGACTTCCCCTGCACAGAGAAGTTTGTGAGTTTGTGGCCACGTCTCATTTATTCAGTATTAGTTGTTCGGAGGTAGGAAAGGAAATAAATGAAGGAGTCGAGGAGTCGAGGGCTTCATGAGCACTAACGGAAAGAAACAAAGTCACAAGTTTGAAGTTAAACTTTTGACCTTTTGATCTCTGAGGATATCAAACTTCTGTGTTTGTAGGCTCAGGTTCAGTTTATTCTTTGTATCCAGGACTAAGTTGATTAAACGGACGCACGTTTGCTTCGTTTCCGTCTGCAGGCCAAACACAAGCGCTACCTCGGCCACTCGCCTCATGTGACCAACATCCGCTTCTCCCACGACGACAAATACGTGATCAGCACAGGAGGAGACGACTGCAGGTAACCCGATCACCGATCAGTAACACAACCATGCACTCAGGAGAGATTAAACTAATAAAACTGTTTTTATTCTCTCTGACTACAAAGACAAGATGCTGCGACGGGCGCATGAACCTTGGTTTTCACACGTGTGTCTTTATTGATGGTTTCAAACGCCTTCTAAACAGATTCTTACAGCAGTTACAGTCTCACCTGTTTTCCACCTGTTTTTGCTGTGAGCCTGTAAATGTAATTCAAAGTGCTCGCTGTTAAAATATCTTCTAAGATTAGGAAAGTTATGACTTGTATCCAACACTTCTGTTCGTGTTTAAGAGATTTCAGGTAAAGTTTAAATAGGGGCGGGCTTTACGTTTGCGTAATACCGATCTGCACCACAAGGTGGTGCAACAAGCCCATCGATGTTTTTTCAACCAGTTTAAACTTCGTGTTTAAAGCTGAGGAAACTGGGACTAAAAGGAAGTTAAAGCGCAGCGGTCGCAGGGGCAACGCTGCCCCCTGGTGGACAAAGTCTTTGTTACAGTTTGCAGAAGTTGACAACACAAAGTTCCTTGAATGCCTGTTTGTGTGTTTCAGTGTGTTTGTGTGGAAATGTCTGTAAACACTCGGATCCACAGCGCCTTAAACAGACCACAAGTGGATCCAGAGGGAGTTGAACCCACAACCGGCCCGAGCCTCCAACGCCACGTGGGCCAGACTGCGACTAACCCTCCACGACGGACGGATGCATGGACATGAACACAAAGCCTCGGGAGAACCCGTGGACTCTATCAGCTGATGTTTACATGTTTGTCGTTTTCTTTTTTGGTCACATGGTGAAAAAAAACATTAAAATTTGTGCAAACAGGTTCATAAAGTGAGGGAGCGCACAGCTGTAAACCTATCAAACGACAGACCCCTCCCTCACTTTGGTCAACCACACGCTCAGATTTGCACGTCAGTGCGCCCCCTGCAGGGCTCAGCGGGAACCTTCCTGATGGATCACATGACTCAGAGGATCCATCAGCTGGTATCTGACCAAAACCCACAGGATGACCTTGTTGGACGGTTTCTGCCACCTGCTGTTACCCATAAGGCCTTGCGTTGGGTCGTCGCAGTGGTTTGAACATTTAAGACATTCCAGTCAGCTCAAAGCTGCTGCTTCCACAAAACTGAGCAGAAATCAGAGTTTAAGGCAGCTCTAACTGAGCCGCGCTGAAGGTAATTAAAACGGCTTCAAACGAACGTACGGAGGCCCACAAGTGTCACACAAGAACTATTTCTCTAACATCTTCAGACGCAAACGGTAACCTGAAGATACTCGGTTACATTCAGGGGTTATTTTGGCAATAAGTCATTTACGATAAAATTCACACGCATCTGTCAAAGTTTCAAAGAAAACAGAAACTATAAAAAGAGACGTTAAAGTTAAATTAGGAGGAATAAACGCAAAGACACAAACGGCACAGCAAACGAAATTAAAATGTCATTAAATTAAAGAAAAAGAAAAGACTAAACTAAAAGATTTATTACATCGCTCTGTTTTCTTTTCTTTGAGGTGGATTCATTTTTATCTTCAAGTAAAACACAAAAGTATTTGTTTATATAAAAACGAAACACCGACATGAAGCAAAATAAAACCTACGAGAAACAAAATGAAATCACCACGGGGGGGTCAAAGGTCATCCTGGTACGTTGCTCTGGTTTCTGTTTGGTTTTGATGCAATCAGCATCTTATTACGTGTTGTTGAAATGAGCCGATTCGAGCGGGCGTTCTGGTCAAACTAAGATTTCTTTATGCAGAAAACAGAAACGTTAAACTGCTTTATAATAAAAAATAATCGAATGCAGTTTCATATTTACAGAAACTTTGTGAAGTTTGTCTGAAAAACAAAAAGTCTCACGGTCACGTTTCATGTCAGCGCCTTCACTGCATCTGTGGTTGGACATCGTCACACTTAAGTGCCTTTCCGGATCTTTCTACCTGTGTTTGTTTCTTTTGGACGAGGTTCATATGCTCGATTTATTTGTTTTTAATCCATAATTGAACTCGTGTTTTCTTTTTTGTACTCTGTCTGGTGCTACACTGAGAATGTTCATCCAAAAATGGACGTTTAAAAAAAGAAGCTTTTTGCTTTGCTGCTGCTTTTTGTTTGAAAGACGTGAAACATCCAAAGCTTCGTGATCGTACCAACATGCAGGAAAAGATATTTGGAGACGTGTTCATGTTTCTCGGAGCGTGGACGAGTCTGTGTGTCGGATTATTAACGTGTAACTGTCGTGAAACGTGTCAAAGAGTCTGTGTGTGTAACCATGAACGAAAAAAAACCTGTGAGAAACCAACCGACTGCTGACTCGTTTATCCACACACACACACACACACACACACAGTATTGACCCTCAAAGCTGAATATGGATGGCTATGTAGCTCCTTAGCAGCTTATAAAGTTTTGCATATAAAGATATATTACGTAGTTTTCGCTCTGTCAAATTGTATCTCGCCCCTGCAGCGGTCTATCCTTCAAGCTCTCGCAGGTGTTGATGGCCCGGATCTTGTTCTTACCGTTCAGCTGACTCCTCAGGACTTGCCCCTCTGCAGGTACTTGGTGGTTGCAGCTTTTCTAGCGGCCTCTTCATGGTTCCCATTCGCCTGTGGGATCCCCAGGTACTTGTAGCCAGTGTTGCCAACTTAGCGACCTTGTCGCTATATTTAGCGAGTTTTCAGACTATGGGCTCAAAATGTGGTCATAAATATTTTGTACTTGCAGATTTGTATGTGTAAAAAAAATTTGTGTGTGTAAAAAAGATTTGTGTGTGG